TAGATGCTATCCCATCAGAGACTGCATCTGTTCTGTGGGCTCCATTCTGCGAAGCAGCCTAGGGAGGCTTCTGAAGTTGCTGTAAAGGTCACACACACACCGTCTTTTACAAATCAATACAATCCCTAAAAAACTTAGTATGCTTTTGGTCTAGTTACTGACCGTCAGATCCACAGGCAAATAACCATCACCAAAGATCTAATCTAGACAAAGTTTTTGTGCTTGCAGACTACCTTCCTAGGTTTCTTTGCTCAGCACATTTCTGCTTCCTTTCAATTTAACAGTGTCTACTTTGAAACTATCTGAAAATATTAGTTTAGATAGGAAAGCATCACCCTTAATTCAACGTTTGAAACTAGAATGGACCCCAATTAACCAAGAAGTTTTAATGGGGGCACTGGAGGCCCATTTACTGATAAAGCTGCTTCTTTAAAACCACCTTTTACAACTAGCCCAAGTACAGTTTGTCATAGAACTTTGCACAAGAAACAGCAAAGATGTCTAAACAGACTGTGTTTTTTCAATGTTCTGAGTTCTTCCAAAGAGTTCACATGTTCTTTTAGCAACTAGTCTACCTTTTTTAAGGATGACGAGTGACAGTTTTACCCAATGTTGTATAATGGTGTCACTGGGATCACTTGCTGGATCCAGCCTGCAGTATCTGTGTTCTTGCTTCCCACTACCTGCTAGACCCAGGCTTCATTTTTTTTTTTTTTTTAATATGGTAGAGTTCCACTTCTACTAACCAAGTTATGTTTTACTTAAGATTAAGGTGCCACTAAAAAGAGACTAAAATCTAGCATTCTAAAGATTTTATTTACTTATTTGAGAGAGAGAGAGAGTGAGAGAGAGAGCAGAACAAGGGGGAAAGGGAGAAGCAGGCTCCTTGCTGAGCGGGGAGCCCCACGTGGAGCTTGATCCCAGAACCCTGCGATCATGACCTGAGCCCAAAGCAGATGCTTAACCAACTGAGCCACCCAAGCACCCCCCCTCCCAGCATTCTAAATAAGATAGATGCATGTCTCATAAAATAATTCTCAACATGTAATTTCTATCTCCGGTCAGGGAAGTGGTTCAACTTTCGCCTTCACACCGAGATCAGTAAGAGGGGAAGGGTACCAGAATACTGCATGCTCTATCATCTAATGGACAAAACTCAGAAGTAGCAAATCTAACATGTTTAAATTCCATTATCTAGAACTTAGACACATAGTCATACCTTTCAGTAAGGGAGAAAGGCAGGCTTTAATGGGATAGATATATGACGGGTCGAAACCATATTATGGAAAGGGATGAAGAACAGATATGGGGCAACAACTTACAGTCTGACAGGCTCCTGTGTTAGTCAAAAACAATTTAAAGCAGGAAAGAAAAACATAATTCAGAGAATTCAGTACTTTCAAAAAATGATGAAAGGAAGAGCCAAAGCTATGGGCTCTACACTGGAAAAGAATACTCCAGAGTAGACACATCGAGGAACTGAAGCCACCACTGGAACTACTGAGTACAAACATTCCACTGTAAAGGCAAACCCATAAACAGAAAACTGCGAATTAGCTGTCACCATTACTGTTGCCACAGTTGTCTCCCAACGCCCAGGATGAGAGGAATGGACGGTGGAGTATTGCTTTGGAAACCATGATCTTGCTTGGCAGTAGAAAAGAAAATCCAAAGCAGCACAAACATTACTTGCTTCTACCTTTTAAAATGTGTTCCAGTACATCTTATTGGTAGAACCCAATTCTCATCCTGACTCCTGGGAAGTGTCACTTTAAGCTTTTCAGAATCTGCAGGCAGACATGTACAGAAGGAAAAAGGTTGGAATGGTGTTCAGTGAATCAATCTACAGCATTCACCAGTGCTACTAATGAACAATGGGCTCCCCAGGAGAGCAGGTATCCTTAAGATACTGTTTTATTTCAACTGAATACCCTTTAATGAACCTTTCATTTGTGTTTACTCTTTAGTAATTGAATAATCCTTTAGAAAAAAAATGATTGGATTAATTTTACCAAGAATGTCAAAAATACATTTGTATAAGGTTTGGAAATATCAATATCAATTTCTTGCTCCTTTATTCTAGACTTTAAACAAATACTTTCTTCTTTTAACTATTTTATTTACTTATTTGACACAGAGAGAGATCACAAGTAGGCAGAGAGGCAGGCAGAAAGAGAGGGGGAAGCAGGCTCCCCGCCGATCAGAGAGCCCGATGTGGGGCTCAATCCCAGGATCCTTAGATCATGACCTGAGTCAAAGGCAGAGGCTTAATCCACTGAGCCACCCAGGCGCCCTTAAACAAATACTATTTCTGAAGGTCTGAAAGTTCTATCTTTATAAAGACTTCATACTCTATTGAAACACTTTTTCCTTATCCCCCAGGTAAAAGTGAATAAAAGAAAAAACAATTGACTTTTCATATAGCAGCAATGCAACTAACATTTAATTTCAAAATGACTTGATCAAAATGACATTTCTTTGTTGGTTTCCTAGTATTTGAAGTAGGGATATACAAATAATTTTATCATATCTGCAGCTGCCTTCACTTGTTTTTCAATGAGGTACTAACTGTGTTCAAATCAACCTGCAAGGTAGGGCTGGGAGAAGGAAATGAAAGCTTCATGATAGCGAGGACCTTGCCAGTTTATCAGACTACACCCAGAACCAAGCAGTGCTATGCACCTATTAGATACCCTATCAGAATTCTTGACTTAATAAGTGAGGTCCTATTTTCAAAAGAATTTATGCAAACAATATTAAGAGGAATGAGGGGTAGGGAAATTGCTGAGCATATATGAAACATGCATGTTGCCAGTCTCGAGGTTGTGAATTATAATGCTCTGTATGAAAATTTCAAGATTACTTTCAAATTCATCTCATTGTTAAAGCCTAGGTTGAAGAATCTTTCCCAGGTTTGAGGCAAGATTACAGGCTGATTAGCAAGAGACACTTGTAAAACCTGTCTTAGAATGTGTTTTCTAACAATTAAGGCATTTAAAAAAATAAATAATTAAAATTAAAGTATTATTAACAAATAAATTAGGTTTACTTTAAAGTGGGAGGAAATATATGTAGAAAAAGAAGCTTATACGTATTTGGATATTAATTTCTTAATGCAATGAGCAGGAAAGTTTTAGGAGTCTATCTACCAAGACACTTAAAACTCTTGTTTCCAACACTTTTAACCCTGCATTTTGTAATAAAAAGCATAGATAAGATAACCTAAAGTAATATTAACACAATACACAGGAAATGGAAGAAACCGATACTGTAAAGATTGCCTTTTTCCCAAAAGACTTGGGATTTCAGCACTATGTCTTAAATGCTTTGTCTTAAATGCTTTGTCATTTTTTCTTAAATGCTTTGCCTGAAAAATGAGTATACTTCTGTTAAGAGACAAAGTTTTGCCTGTTTAAGTAGTAGGAATAGAACAAAACCATGAGAAATTAGTTTACAGAAATAGCACAATTGTCCATCTGATTTTATTTTTAATTAAAAGTTCTACTGAAATAGGTAAGCGTACATATTAAGCTAAGGAAATAAATGGTATTGAAGGGCATATTTTTAAAGAAAACAGAGTACAAGGTACATTTCAGTACCTGTTCTTGTTAAATAATAGCTATCAAACTGTGCTAACCTTAATCTTTCCGTTCCTCCAAGATTAGATTGCTCCTTTTCAAAACAGTTCAGCTCCTCAGCTTCTCCTCAAATGTACACAAGTGGACTATAACATAGAATAAGAAATTTGTAGGTCCAAAAATGCCCAATTTTTCAAGAGAGTATTTTCTTAAAAATTAATGGCCCATTTTAGGAATTAATGTAAAGAGATAATGAATGTTTAGCATAAATGTATTAAGGAAAGATCATTACATGTAAAGCTATTTTTAAACCCTTCTACCTCTCCAGAGTCTCAAAGTTAAGAATCAAAATCTAGGTTATGATTAAAATATAAAGGTGCACCCATTTTCACTTTCCATTTCCAGGCGAAGCTTCCACTTTTTCTTAATCTCTCACACCTGTGTTGCTCTGTAAGGAAAGGAGTAGGAGGGAAGGATGTACATTTTGAAACTTTGATATTTTTAAATACCTTTTCATAAGCAGCACTGAGAGTGAATTAAATTCACAATTTTCTGTTCTTCATCCTTCCATCCAAGAAATCCAGTCTTTAAAAAACAAAACAAAACAGGAACGCCTGGGTGGCTGCTCAGTGGGTTAGGCCTCTGCCTTTGGCTCTGGTCATGATCTCAGGGTCCTGGGATGGTCCTGGGATCGAGCCCCACATCAGGCTCTCTGCTCAGCAGGGAGCCTGCTTCCCCTCTCTTTCTCTCTGCCTGCCTCTCTGCCTACTTGTGATCTCAGTCTGTCAAATAAATAAATAAAATCTTAAAAAAAAAAACAAAACTAATATAAAATTGAAAAAGGAAAGGAAAAAGGAAAAAAACAAGAAAAAGTGAGGATCCTATGATTATATTTTGGTAACAAAAAAATTGACGCAACATATTTTTGGTTGCTAAAACTTCCTCCAATAAAGGAAGCATGCTTCTGGCTGAACATAGTTCTTGGATCAAATTAGACAATTTTATGGGCTGCCACAAAATTTCCACTCATTGCTCATTTCAACAGCAATATACCAAAATGAGAGCAACAAAATACCCACACCTATTTTCTTGTTAGCCTTCTAAATATTCCTTTTTATTTATGTTTTCTTGAAATATGATTAGATAATAAGAAATATTTTAAAAATCAAAATTTACTATGGTCCTGAGGTTGAGAAAACAAAATTGACATTTTGCTAAACCTGAAAAAAAAAAAGGAACATATTAAATAAAGAAAATAACTTGGTAGTCAAACTCACAGAATGGCTAGAGTAGCATTTTCAAGTGTTCACTTCTGCTTCTGCGAATTGAAACCACTTGTTCCTGTCCCCATCCACTCCTGCATTCAAATGCATAGTAATACGAGCAAAAACACAGCGTAGAAATATGCTTACCTTACCTACTTTTTTCAAAGACATATTTTTGTTTGCATGTTACTGTTTGGCACAAATTCTGTTTAGCACGGAGAAGTTAATTCATTGTTAAGTTCTGTGCTTAAATCCTGCATTCATTATGTAAACTCCTTTTTTCCATATAGCCTTCCAGGGTTTGATGAAAAATAGATTCCTAAACAAGCCAAACCTGCCAAACAGGAAGAAAAGCTTTCAGTGGAATCATAATGTTCCCTTGAAATAGAAGTGTTTTAGCTTGTACGAGCGTATTTCTCTCCTGAAAAGAAATGAGATCATGTTTCATTTCAGGAAGATTTATGCTTCAGGTAAGACATTGAAACAAGTAAACTTCCTGTACTTAACAAATACATAGAAGAGTATTTGAATTCAAATGTACTGTTGAGGCAAAGTAGCTCCTTAATGATCTTGTAAAACTTAAATGGTAGAGGAGTTTAAAATCTGAGTAAGTTTGTAAATATTCTCTGATAAACTGATTATGCCTTGATTATCCCTTTTCTCCCTCTCTCCTTTTTTCCCTCCCTCTCTTCCTCGCGGACCCTGTAGATATCATATCCTTTATGTCATCTCCTAACTGCTCACTTTTATGTCTGTTAGAGTCTTGAGCCAATTTCAGTCATGTCTGTTGGTAGATTTTTTCTTTGTGCACATTTTCTTCAGTATCTTGAAGCTGGTGCTAGTAGTCTACAGACTGCATGCTGATGGTGACTCCAAAAGGATTTTCTTGTTAAAGAAAATCTTAACGTATAGGCTTCAAACTGACTGGAGTCCCTGCTGGAGAAAAGCAGCTGTTTTCTTTCTGTTTTGTCACTCCAAGCTGGGGTCCGAACTGGCAGCTCACTGAAGGCCAATGGTGTGTCCCAATCACCCCCTTACTTGCTTACCTGGCAAACAAATCGATTTCTGGTATTATTTCTGGTATTTCTGGTATTAAAGATAGAAATTATATGCCTTAATTTAAAAAAGCAATTATAGTACGTAACGTGTATATAGTGTCAAACTTTTAAAATACTTTATCTAATGTCTTACTGTATATCAGATAACAGCAGAGAGGTTAAAGAACACATGTCACTTACGTTATGAATAACGTCACCCAGGTCATTTTAATCAAGGTTTTCTTGTTCTAGCTCAAGGGCTCTTTCCATGACATGCTACTCCATACATGTCTACTTGCCATCTGGGCCACACAGAAACAAAGTCTGTGGATTGAGCACAGTAAATAGTACCAGGCAGGACTGAGCTGGCAAACAAGATGGCTGCAGCCAGCTTCTATGCAAAAGGATCACATTAAGCAGATGCGTTTACTGATTCATTCAGTGAACAAGCTCATTTGTTGCTAGTGTCAGCCTCTGGGCCATGATTTCACTTTTTTTTCCTCTCTGAGCTGGGATCATTTTCGCCGTGAGGAAGCCCTCTTCAAGTAAGCAAACAGCACAGTATAATTCTCTAGGAGTTTAGAAAGAAAAAGTGTTATAGTAGTCGTTTCCTGTCTAGAAATATATTGGGTTGGATGTCTAATTAAATTATTAGTTTCTTTTCCGAATTTATGATCCGATAAAATGATATAGAGACAAACATAGCAAAAAATGAATCCTTGTAATTAGGCATAAATCTATTTCTTATCAGCTCTTAGCAATAGTCACGATTTGTACATTTTTAAGTTATTAGCTACTTTTCTGTTGAATGGAGTATTTTGAAGAATTGTTTTCTGCTACAAGAATAAGGATGATGTGTATCTTTGAACGTGTAACTTAACACAAACATGTTTCTTTCCTTGACAACTTTATTTTATATTTCTAAATATTTTCCTTTTTATTGTGATTTTTTGCTTCTTGAGTTATTTAGAAATGTTTTGAAGTTGAGTATTTGTGAGTTGTTTTGTAAATTATCTTCTTTTTACTGATATTTAATTATATACTGGGGTCAGAAAGAATAGTCTGTATAGTACTGACTTTGAATTATGTTAGAAGTCACAGATTAGGGGCGCCTGGGTGGCTCAGTGGGCTAAAGCCTATGCCTTTGGCCCAGGTCATTATCTCAGGGTCCTGGGATAGAGCCCCGCATCGGGCTCTCTGCTTGGCGGGAGCCTGACTTCCTCTCTCTCTGCCTGCCTCTCTGCCTACTTGTGATCTCTCTTTCTGTTAAATAAATAAATAAAATCTTAAAAAAAAAAAAAAATTGCCCATCACCTTCCAACAAAGTGATGAGGCGATAGCCTCTCTTTAAAAAAAAAAAAAGTCACAGATTATATGGTCAATTTCCATAAGCAACTCTTGTCCTTGAAAAGAACGTGTAATTTGCACTAATTGAATGCAATATTCTACATATGTCCATTACATCAAGCTTGTCATTTTTTTCAACTCTTCTGCATGCCTAATGATATTTTATCTAATTGATCTATAAATCTTGTGAGATTTCTATTTAATCCTTTCATTATGAAAGTGGATTTGTCAGTTTCTCTTGTAGCACTATTATGTGTAATGGCAGGAATTCTGAAGGAACTGCTTTCAGTACATACATATCTCAGATACCTAGAAGGTGAATTCTGTCTTTTAGTTCTAAAGTGCTTCTTTTCTCCTCTAAACATATTTTTTTTGCAGATAGATCTGTTTGGGCTGTTTATAACATAATGACACCAGTATTCTATTGTTACTGTTTGCCTGGGATATGTTTCCCTGTCCTTCTCATTTTAAGCAATCCTTATCCTTGCATATCTAGTATGTCTCCATACACCTCTCCATACACCTCAGATGGGCTTTTTCCTTTTTTAATACAATGTCACAATCTAGAGATTTTACAAAATATAGTCAGACTATTTACATTTATGTGCTTCTGATACACACCTTTTCATTTTTACCGCTTTAGAAAAGGCTTGTATTTGTACAATCTTCTCTATTTTCCTGACATCATTGGACCTTCTTCCAAATTGATCAAGGATTGTTGTTGTTGTTACTGCTTTCATTTCTTTCTCTCTCTCTGCTGTAGATACACCCTCTGTTATCTTAGTGGTTACATCTAAAAATTAAGCATGCATTCCTGAAACATCTAAAATTTTCTGTATCTGTACTTCTTCCTGGACAATACAAAGAACTTTTAAAATCTGAATCACCCAACCCTGACTTACATAGTCTTGTGGTCTAGTATTTAATTATATCTAGTTTATTTGATCTCCAAATTAACAATTATTATTGTTTGTACAACCAATGATAGTTTAGAATTATCCACATATTTACTGTAATTTTACTCACCATTCTTTATGAAAACTTGTTTTCATCTTGTTCTACTTCTTAAAAGACAGTTTTGCTGAATATTGATTGACTTACATTCCTCATCTGATTTTTTCACCATCATTGTTGGCTTCCTCTTTTGTTGTGATATTTTTGCTTAGGTTGCATTCTGATTATTTTCTTATAATTGTGCATCTTTGAATAGGAGTGATTTTTTTCTGAGGCAGTTCCTTCTTGAAAGACTGTGTATGAAGGAAGCCAGAAAAATTAGCTATGTGAGCACACAGCCTGGATTCAGATCTATTGTTCAGAACATTTTCTCATCAACACTACCTTTTGGGTAAACATTCTCCAAGACAGAAAGACATCTACCTGGCTCACATCGAAGGCCGGGATAGATAGTCAGATGGGCCGTGACAAGGTATTTGTCCAGCTAATTTAAACCAGTGTCACCACTTTTGTTCTCCTCTAAATTTTGAGACTGTCCTCTAAAACCATGCATGGGACGTCTGCATGCTTGATTACTCAGCAACCCGGTTCTTCAATTATCTGGAGAATGCTCTTTCTTAGAGCCTTCCTGATGATGTTCCTCACAGTATTGAAATAATTCTATAAGATCGGATTTGTTATTTATTCATTGTGTGTATGTGTGCACATGTGTGCATGTCCATATGCTTGCATATACACACGCATGGCTAAGTATTCACTTTAAGAAAATGTTTATCCAGAGAAATCAGCAATACGTGTATTTTCTGTTATCTGTACTCTGATCAATTATGCTCTGATTGAATCCCCTCAGATGTGCCCTATTTTCTGTTCCCAATGAGCTTTTAATGTATCCAAATCTAAGGAACTAAAAATAATTCCACACACCCATACCTAGTTTCAAATTATCTGAATACATTATTACACACACATACAGGCAGGCACACATGCACACACACACACTCAAACACATACATCCTCAGAAAAAAACTGCTGTCAGGAGGTTTTTGATCTTTTTTTCAAAACTTACAGTGATTTTATCCAAGAACACTGTATGCTCTTTGATGTAATTCACCATTATTAGCCACCCCCTACTACTACTACTTTATAGCTCATTATTTTCACTTGGTTGGAGTTTCAGAATTGAAGAAGGGGAAAAAAACCCTTCTTTTTGTAACATGCATATAACATTCAAAATTACTTTCTTAGATCATTCTCAGGATTTTCAGCACCGTAAAAGGCAGACCATGGTCTTATCTCTATTCAAGGTCATATCTCCAGTGTCTACCACAGTGACTGGAATAGAATAGGTGTTCAATATACTTTCATTTTATGAATAAGAAGACATAAACACTGATTGCCTCAAAGGGAAGAACTCACACAACAGAGGCGTAATTTTTTTCCAATCTTTGAAACAGAACAGGATAGAGGCCTTCCCTATGCCTTTCCAACAACTTACTTTAATTTTCCTTTTTACTAAGGGTTCACATATCTGGCCTTTTTGGTAGTAAAGCAATCCACTTTAGTAAACTGTCGTTTCATTTTTTGTGTTAATTTTTGTGAACTCATGTCAATTTCCAGTTACTTTGCCAACCACATAGCTTTGCTATTTCAAATTATTTTTAAACCTTTAGAGTTATCAAATAGTTTTCCATTGCTAAATATAATAGATGAAGTATACATATACTATTCCTTAAAATCACAAAACCATAAGTAGTGTGCAAAATTTTAAAAAAGACTAAAAATCTTCCTGATATGTATTTTAAAAGTACAGCATTTGGTTTGCTAATCTTTATAGAGTACCATGTAATTATTTTTGTTACCTCATACTTTAAGTTTATGTTACTACCAATCAACAATTTCTTATAATACTAGTTGTCCAAAAGATGATATCAAAATCACTGACATTGAGAGTGGGTTGTTGAGTTGATCTCTTAAAATATAATAATCCTTTTTTTTAATTGTTAAGGGTTGATTCTAACTCTTCCATTTTCTAGCTATAAAGCTCTTAAAAACATTTACATGCTCTGTGCCTCAATTTCTTCTAAAATGAAGATATTGATAATGCCTATTCAATGGGCCATCAAGAAGCTTAA